CAATTACTACCAAACTAAATGATATATAAAAATTCTAATTATAAAGTTCAACTACTAACAAACTAATTAATTATATCTAATTTATAAATTAATTTTTGACATTCTTGCAGCACCAAGAGGTGGTTGTTAAACATCCAAGGCCCGCCATTGATGACTCTTTTGATGTCCACTTCATGAAAAAAATAAAATAGACAACGCCCTAATCCCTAATCTTGTATACTTACTTCGCCGAGCGGTCTTCATACGTCCACAAGGGTGTTTTTCATCGGGTCAAACTTAACAATCGCTTCCGTCAGGTAGCATCCAACCAATCATAACTCGTAATCATCTTGTGGAGTGCCTCTGATACTGCTAATATCCCAGCCCCTGTCCTCTGCCTCCATAATAGAAAGAAAAGTGCAAACCCCTCCACGGTATCCAGCAGACTTGTTACTCAATGACAGGGTGCGGGCTCCAACCACTAGAAGAGGAGCAAAAGAGAAAAAAAAAAGAATGAAGAAAAGAGAACATGAACATGAACATGAACGTGCCAATCGGCAGATGACGGAGAGAAAACGTGTCAAGCTGCAAATTTTCACTTGTTTTTGGGACAATGACAACTTAAAATTTTTTTACTAATTAAATTGTATGGTGTTAGGTTGTAATACATTTATTCTTTCCCTAATTTGAACTTCCATAGTTGTTGGAGAAAACAAGTCATAATCTTTTTCAAACATAAAAATATTTAAACTCATTTTTGTTTAATTTTTTCAATCTTTAAATTCAAATCTCTTTACTTATTTCTTTATCCATAAAAAGTGTGTAAAAATTGTGTACTTTTTAAATAATTAAAATGATAAAAATAAATTTTTATAAAATAATAAAAATAATATTTTGAAAACTATTTTAGTTTTGTTGTTATTTTTACTATTTTTTATTGTTGGATAATTTGTACAAATTTTAAGTTAGAAACATACAAAATAAAAACTGTAAAATATTTTTATATATCAAACAAGTTTCAATTTGTTTTTTATTTAGTGATTAGGACGATCTTAACAATCAAGTACATTTTGAGAAGTAGAAAACTAATGGTGGTGTGGCCATCAATCAACCACCGTTAAATCTGTTTGGAATGCATTTATAAATTTGGTATATTTTGTTTACAAACTTATATCAAATTACGTGTTGAATAAATTTAAAAATATTGAAAAATTTGTTTGCAAATTTAAGGTTGATATAATTAAATGATAATCCAAATTGTTTTAGATGAGAAGAAATTTGAGTTTATAACAAATTGAATATGCATATCAAATTTGATAAAATTTATAACAAATTGCAGTCAATTTCACATTTAATTTCTATAAATCCACTTTTTATTATTTTAGAAGAGATTTTTTTACCTTATTTTAATTTATTTATCAAAGAAATGAATGATATAAAATATCATATAGCATTAACATATCTTTAATTATAAGTCCTTAAAGCTTCTCTTCTCGTTATATCTTTCTTATCACTGATAGAATTGTTTGGTTAAGCAATCGTGCGCACAGGTAGTAAACATTGTTATTTTAGAAAAAAAAAATTGAAGAAATTAAAATTCTGAAAATATTTAAAAGGTCTTAAAATACTAAGGTCAATTCCCTCTCTGTCAAGGACACTTTGTGTTGTATTTGAATTATGAATAGTTAATGTGAGTTTATTTTATTTGGATCATTTCTAACTAAAAAAAAATAGTATGGTTGGTTGAGTCATATTTAGGTGTATATTATTATTTTTTTTTTAATTTTTTAATTTTTTCAAGCCATCAATTCGATAATTTTTAATGCTTGAATATTTTTCTTTCCGTTTTACCCTTATAATTATTTATTAATTTCTATTTTGCCTATAAACCCAAATTTTGTTTTTCTTCTATCCAGACCTGCTTATTCTTTCTTCATCGCAGCTTGCTTCTCCTCTTCTTATCTGCTTCTACTTCTTTCGCTTTGATATTATGCTTCTGCTTGTTGCGAGAGTCTTCACCGATATTAACTTGCTTCACCAAACACAACATCAATAAAGGTATGTACTGATTTTTGTGGTGGGTAATGATTTTCTTTGATTTTTTCATCTGCTTCTGTTTATAATCTGTAAAATTCAAAAGTTTCTGCTATTGTTCCTCTCTAATAGATGAAATTTTGTTTTTTTTTCTACTATTGTTCGTCTATATGCTGCTTTGACTTTATTTTTTTTTTAAAAAAATGTAAAGATCCATTTTCACATATTATTAGATTGAATATGTGAAATTCAAGACTTTCTGCTATTGTTTCTCTCTAATAGATAGAATATGTTGTTTTTTTCTGCTATTGTTCCTCTCATATGCTGCTTTAGCTTTGTTTTTTTTTTTTTTTTTTTTGTGTTTGGACTTTTTTTTCACAGATCATAGTTTTATAATCTGTGAAATTCAAAAGTCTTTGCTATTGTTCCTCTCTAATTGATGAAATTCGTTGTTTTTCTTTCTCCTGCTATTGTTCCTCTCAAATGCTGTTTTGACTTTGTTTTTTTTTTTTATGTGTTTGGACTTTTATTAAAAATGTAGAGATCCATTTTATAATTTAGTCGGTCTCTTTTCAAAAGCAAACAACAAAAAGAGTAGTCAGCCCTATTTTCTTCTCTCTGGCATCAAGTAACTTCCATTTGACTTCTAAAAAGAAAAAAAAAAATCGTAATCTTTTTTTAGTGAAGATATTTCATTCCTCTTATCAATTTGAAGCATAACATCAATTGCAACAGGAAGTGAAAATGGATTTCGCTTTCTTTGGCTGCATATTTCTTTGATATAGCTGCAGAAGTTTCTGCTCATTAGTTCCATATAAGGGAGAACGATACCATTTGAGTGAATACTCAAGGAATCCACCTTGCAATGTTTCGTGAACTATTTAATCTTCGTTGTACTTCTTTACATAATGCGATTGAATGTGCTTTTGAAGTTTTTAAGAGACAGTTTTTAATTATTTCAAGCTCTACTGAACTTCATTATCGTCTCAAGACTCTTAATCACATTATATTTGCTTGTTGCATTTTGCACAACTACTTACGGGGAGAGGATCCAAATGATGAACTTCTTGTAGAGATTGATAAAGAACTTCAGCACGTTTATCATGATGAACGAAATCAATATAACATTAGGGATAGTATTAAGAAAACAAGAAACGGGGGAAGCTATTAGAGATCATATAGCAGCTGATAAGTGGGCTGCTTAAAATGCTTGATTACATTTTGAACTAATTGTGTTGTTTATGACATTTATATGGGTTTATGACTTGTGAGATATTTTAAAGTTTTAATTGAACAATATAATTTGGACTTTGTATGGTATATGATTATATCTG